AATTGATAATACATACTTGATCTCCATCCCAAAGTTGTCAGCACAGAATTTTAATGGAACATATGATAGAGGACATTCTTGCCAACTTAAAAACCTGAGTTCCTTCAAAAGATAATCCATATTTTCACCAATATTCATCTCTAGAGGTTTCTTCGCATTAGACTTGTAAATATTAAGGCGTATTAAAGTATACATCTTTTGTAATTTAATAACGCTCAATGTCTTCTCTTCTATCTTGCTCATGTCCAATGACATGCATCGAATGCCCACATTCCCCTTAAAAAAAACTAATAGGGAAAAACACACAATTATTGCATAAAAAATGAATAGAACCACAAAAAAAAAATCAAATATACTTGTCTTTTAAATTATGTCCAAACCAATAATCCTATTGTATCATTTACTTAAACATTCTTTCATCAATTCATGTTTTTTTGATAATAAATGAATTCCTAAATCGCACAAGGTAGCATTAGTTATTTAAATCTAGAAAGGTTTTCTCAAAGAAGTAAATCTAATTAAAAAAATCAAAACATAATGACAAAATAGAAGACATGAAAATCTAATCATTTTTATCTAGTTCATGTCTGATGATAGGCATTGAAATGCCTTAGTACTGTAGTGAGCAAATCATGCAAGGAAATGATTAATATGTAAAAAGTGATCAAATAACTATTAGGACAATTAATTAAATATATTACTTTTGGATAAATCTAAATAAATCCTTATTTAATTTGTTTTGTTTATGTAATTTAATTAAAAAATTTAAGACATATAAAATTGAGTAACTTCACGATTCAATATAAGAATATTAAGACTTACCAAAGGATTAAATTAAATGAATATGTATATAACTTAAGGCAAATGCGAAAACATTTCCAGGAAATAATAAAATTTAAGAGCGTAAAGAAAGATAAAAGAATAAATATTACCTTGTGATGGTTGAAAAAAATAACAAATATCCTCATCCCTCCATAGTCGAGTTGGTATTCTATTTAGAAATTATTCTCCAAAAATTTCAAGACCCATTATCATGATGAGATTATGCATCTCAATACAACTACATCTATCAACTAAAATGAGGGACTTATCTTCAAGAACACTAACCAAAACCTATGTAGAAGAGCCATATAAGCATCTGATACAATTGAGAGAAATCCTCATTCCCTCACTCAACAAAAATGTGAGGTCAAGAAATAGTTCCTTTTGGTTGTGCTTTAGTTCGTCAAAACTCAATTTCAACGAATTGAAAATATCAATGTCATGATTTTGACTTAGCATTTCAAAAGTAGCTTCCCACTCTTCTCTTCTAGAACCAAAAATAAAAATAATAATGCAAGCTTTTTAGAGCTAAGGGATTTCCTTGACAAACATCCACTACATGTTTTAATAACTCTAAATAGCTTTTTGATGGCTCATTTTGCTTGAAAGCTTTTAAAGCAAATAGTTTAAGAGCATCACGGGAATCCAATTTTGGAACTTGATATATTTTGACACCAACAAACTTAAGGACATGCTCGTCTCTTGATGTGATCATAATTCTATTACCTATCCCTAATCGATTACTTACTTTGATCAAATTATCAATTTTGAACCAGTTGTCCATGAATCATCAAGAATCATAAGAACTTTTCTATGTTAGATCATGTTGATATGCTTATATTTTAGTTGTTCTCTAGCAATATCAACAAAGCAAAAAGTTTTAAATTTTTATTCGAAATGGAGAGACACAACTTTGGCAAGAGCAATCTTTCCTACACACCACCCATACCCCATATTCCAACAATGGGGCCTTATTTAGAAGTTTCTCTATATTCTTAATATGATGAGCAATGCCAACAAGTCCTTTAGAAACACTCAATGAGTCATATTCATTATTAGCAAGAGAAGAGATTGTTGAAGTTGAAACAATAAAATCTTTAGTAACTGAAGTTGTGTCTCTCCATCTGGAAGAAAATTTTGATGCTTTTTCCTCTATGGATATTGCCAGAGAATAGCTAAAATATAAGCATATCAACATGCTCCAGTAGAAAAAAGTTCTTATGATACTTGATGACATGGACAACTAGTTCAAAATTAATAATTTGATTAAAGTAAGTAGTCAATTAGGGGAAGGTAGTAGAATTATGATCACATCAAGAGACAAGAATGTGCTTAAGTCTGCTGGTACTAAAATATATCAAGTTTCAAAATTGGATTCTCAGGATGCTCTTAAACTCTTTGCTTTGAAAGATTTCAAGTAAAATAAGCCATCAAAAAGCTATTTAGAATTATCAAAATGTGTAGTGGATTTCTGTCAAGGAAATCCTTTAGCTCTAAAAAGCTTGGGTTATTATTTCTTTGGTTCTAGAAGAGAAGAGTGAGCAGCTGCTTTTGAAATGCTAAGTCAAAACTTGACATTCATATTTTCAATCTGTTGAAATTGAGTTTTTATGGAGTAAACCACAACCAAAAGGAACTATTTCTTGACCTCACATTTTTGTTGAATGAGGGAAGGAGGATATCTCTTGATTGCATCAGATGCTTATACAAATCTTTTGCACAACTTTTGGTTGGTGTTCTTGAAGATAGATCCCTCATTTCAGTTGATAGATGTGGTTGTATTGAGATGCATAATCTCATCATGATAATGGGTCTTGAAATTTTTAGAGAACAATTTCTAGATAGAATGCTAGCTTGACTGTGGAGGGAAGAGGATAGTTGTTATTTTTTTTGACCATCATAAGGTAATAATTTATTCTTTTATCTTTCTTTATGCTCTTAGAATTTTTTTTTTATTTTCTTGACATGTTTCGGTATTTGCCTTAAGTTATGTACATATTCATTTAATTTAAATCTCTGGTCTTAATATTCTTATCTTGAATCTTGAAGTTACTTAATTTTGTATGTCTTAAATTTTTTAATTAGATTACATAAACAAAAAAAATTAAATGAGGATTCATTTAGATTTTACCAAAAGTAAGATATTTAATTAATTGTTCTAATAGTTATTTGATCACTTTTTACATATTAATCATTTCCTTCCATGATTTGCTCACTAAGGTCCCGAGGCAATTCAATGCTTATAATCATACATGAATTAGATAAAAATGATTAGATTTTCATGTCTTCTATTTTGTCTTTATGTTTTTATTTTTTAATTAGATTTACTTCTATAATAAAAACTTTCTAGATTTAAATAACTAATGATACATTGTGTAATTTAGGAATTCATTTATTATCAAGAAAACATGAATTAATGAAAGAATGTTTAAATAAATGGTACAATAGCATTATTGATTTGGATATAATTTAAAAGGCAAGTATATTTGATTGTTTTTTGTGGTTTTATTCATTTTTTATGCAATAATTGTGTATTTTTGCCTGTTGACTTTGTTTTTCAGGGGAATAAGGGCATTCGATGCATGTAATTAGACATGAGCAAGATAGAAGAGAGGACATTGAGGGCTATTGAATTACAAAAGATGTATAATTTAATATGCCTTAATATCTACAAGTTTGATGGGAAGAAACCTTTAGAGATGAATATTGGTGAAAATATGGATTATTTTTCAAAAGGAACTATGGTTTTTAAGTTGGCAAGAATGTCCTCTATCATATGTGCCATTAAGATTATGTGCTGAAAAACTTGTACAACTTCAAATGCCTAGCAGACATCTCGAACAACTTTGGGATGGAGAATAGGTATGTATTATCACTTGTTTTTTCTACAAATTAATAGCACTGTGTTTTGTGATTTTGAGAACGTCATAAAACTTTTGGATATCTCACACATCAAATATTCAACAAATTCAAATTGCATGAATGTTTGCTTTATCATATTCAAATAATTTTAAGATTACAGGACTTTTTCTAATTGATTTCCCTTACAAAATCTCATTTTTCTTTGTGACGAGAGAATTAACTTCATGATTAAATGACTTAGTTATTTGAAATGCCTAGCTAGTAGTCATATCCAACAATTTTGGAATGGAGATCAAGTGTCATTTTTCCTATATTTACAGATAAGTTTTTTGTGTGATTCTAACAATCTCTTTAATTTTAGGTATATCTATAAAGCCTCAAAAAGTGACCAAAGAATTTTATAATGTACATCTTTAGCTTCACTATCTTTACATAGATGGTTAAACAGTATAATTAGTTATCTAATCCATATATGGTTATCTCATATTTTAAACTGCCATGGGAGGAATTCATGATCAAATTATTTAGTTATCTAATTTATCTAACCTTTTTTCAGCATTTTCCAAATTTAAAGCTGATCAATGTAAAGTAATCAAGATGCCTGAAGACATTACCAAATTTGTCTCAAGCCCCAAATATTGAACTTTTAGATGTTGAAGGTTGTGTAAATTTGGATTAAATCCATTCAACTATCCTAGTCAAGCTTTTTCAATTATGATTAGGATGGAGTAGGCCAAAGCAAATAAACATGGAAGGCACAATCAATGGGAAAAGTGCTGGGCTAGTGTGTGTTCTCAGTTATTTGGATCTTTGCCATTTAGAATTCCACAAAGTGACAATGAAGATCTTCATATGTGAGGGTGATAGTATTATGACTGGTGTTAGATTTTAGGTTAAGGGAGTGTGATTAGAGAATAATAGTAAGGGGGCTGAGTTAAATGGAGACACGAAGGTTAGCGTCTTTACTTCCATTTGTTAAAAAAGTTCATTAGTCAAATGGTCCAATTAAGTTTGGAATTTCAACCAACACCATACTTCTATTGGCCATTACAATAGTTGTTATGGCCATGAGGTGGAGGTGAAGAAGAGGAGACATGGAATAAAAAGGAGAGAGTTGTGGCTATTGAAAAGACAAGGGGTTAATCATATTCATAAGCATGAGGGCTCCACATTAATGGAAGTTGAAGAAGATGATGAGTGCATGCCACAAAGTAACATTGATTATATGATACAAACAAGATTTCCCAATCACACTCCTTGCTAGTCACTGTTGACAAAACTGACATTGAAGGAAAGTGAAGTTACTGGGAATAATGTAGGGGGTAGCAGCACTCAGGTTTCAATTTTAAGATAACTTCCATTGTCTCAATCTCGCTAAAGCATTGAACCCTTCTTGGATCTAACACTGTCCCTTGACAATGATAGCCCTCTAATTTTTTGGATCTCTTATTTGATAACTCAAATTGATGATCCATCTTCTAAATATTTCAACTTGTTTTTACAATACTAAGATGACCATATTCGTTTAACCAATATTAGAGATTTAGCCAGTCATATTGGTAGTGTATAAATATTAAAATAAATTCATATAACTGACACAACTTGCCCTTGTTGGGTGTCCAAATGTGATGGTTGTCTAAAATGTTGTGTAGTCCTATTAATAGACCAAAAAAAAAAAACAATTCTTATATGTAGTTAGCGTAATACGTTTATCAACAGACTTTGTTGTTGTAATGCAGAAAATAAGCTTGATTTCAGACTAACACAACCGCAAATTAAACGAGAAAATAAAGAGAGTGGGGTTATTTATTAGAGGAAGCAAGCTGCCTATCTTCGCGAGCAGCAGGTTGGTAATCATCACGCAAAGGAGAGATGAATCTGATGGCTTTGGAAATTGATATGGCCACTCCCATATATGAGTATCAAAGCAATGGTTGCATCCATTATGTGATAGCGAATTCTTGCTTCAACCTAAAACTAAGGGTAGGGGGAAACGGCGTTAAGAGTGTGGGCTTTTATTTGAATAGCTTCATATATTGTAGGCTCTAAATAGGCTACATGCAATTAAATTAAAATTAAAGTTAGAAGTAAATCCTAATAAAAATTATTTTAAAGATTCAGATTTAAAATCTATTTTCTATAGTCCAAAGTCCAGACGAATATCAAGCTTATTTAAAAGCCTATATGTAATTAAAATGAAATTAAAGCTAGCAATAAATTCAAACAAAAATTATTTTAAAAAAATTACCTCTAAAATCCATTTTCCCGAGTCCAGAAGATCATTAAACAAACAAATAATATTCTATAGAATAAATGAATAATATAACACAACATAACTAATGAAAACATTTACACAACATGACTAAAAATAACAATCAACAAGTCATTCTCGGCTTGGTGAATTCTACGCCTTTGGAGCTAAAGAGAAACACCTAAGGAAATTGACTGATGGATGTAAGGATTTTCTAAAGTTTGGGCCATAGGGTTTTGATTTTACTTTACCTTCTCTCATGTGGCTAGCCTAATTAGCAGAGAAAAGGGGGAGTGTAAACACGAGTCCCGTTTCAGTGCTCATCATAAAAAAAAATTTGGACCATTCAGATTTTAATTTAGATAGTCCAGATTTTTCTAATTTTAATTTTAATTTTAATTTTATAAAAATAAAATCTATAAATTTTTTTAATAAATATATTTATTATCAATTTGGATATATTCATCATCATTCTGGATAGTACTGATTAAATTTGGATGGTTTAATTTAATGTTATAATTTTTATAAATTAACTATTTGGATGTACTCTAAACAGTTTAGATTCATCATTAAATTTTTATCTGCAAGGCCTAAATTTAAAGTTTTTATTTTTATTTTATATTTATTAAAATAAAAAATTATTAAAAAAATTAATGTTAAATTTGTCTTGTCTGAAGTACATCTAGATAATCAGTTTATGAAAATTATAATATTAAATTAAATCACTTAAAATTTTAAATTGAATTAGTACTATCCAAATTGATGATGAATATATTTATCAAAAAATTATTAATTTTATTTTTATAAAATTAAAATTAAAATTAAAAAAAATTTGAACCACTTAAATTAAAATTTAAATAGTTCAGATTTTTTTTTTTTTTTTTTATGATCAGCACCGAAACCGGACTCAAACGCGCACACCGTCAGAGGCAGTGGGAGTAAAGGGTGGAAAATTGAGGGCCCACAAGTTTTTGGTTGGAAGCGGGGGGAGAGAGAGAGAGAGAGAGAGAGAGAGAGAGGTAAGGTAGAGTCAGTCTGATGTCAAGTCCTAAGTCTAGAAGATGAACCAGAACATAATGGAGAAAAAGGAACAATATACTGGAGATCAAGGGGACGAACATAGAAGACAAAAGAAGCAAGAGTAAAAATCAATTAACCAAGGCAGAGTGTAAGGAACAATATACTAGAAATAAGGGGGCCGGGCGAACCTGAGCACGATCGCGAGTAACTGAGGGAGGACTGAGAGCACGACCTCAAGCAAAGATTTTAACAGAAAAAGTGAGTGATTCCGTAGATAGCGAGAACAACAGAACAACATTAAAGAAACCATAAAATGAGAAACCATTCATAACAGAGAACAACAGAACAACGAGAAAGAACAGCAGACCTCAACGGCCAAGATAAAGAAACAGACCACCACGATGAAGAACAGCAAAAAAGTAGACCTCAACAACCAAGAGAACAACACCAGGCGGCCCACCCAGACAACTTTGACAATGAGACAGAGCAGCGACTAAGTTCGAACTCGAAGAAGCTAAAGTTGGAACTTGGAAGGAGAAGGAGCTTGGAAAAAAAATCTTTGCTTGTGAAATGAATAAATACCCATCATGTCAAGCCTTTCTACTTGTTTGTTTCCCCAAGCCTTCGCTTGCCAAATAGAATTTTTGGGCTTTTAACATCCTAACTAAGGTTTGGACCATCCTAACTAAGCAGAAGAATGGACGACAGCGACCACACTCTCAAAGCAAGGACACCCTCGACGTAGGAAGAAGGGACGATGGCAAGCAAGAAACAACGCGAGCAACACACACGGTCGAAATCGGGTGGCAGCGGCAGCGATTTCTTGTCAGATCAGGCAGAGCAAAGGAGAACAAGGTCAAGGTATTACAATGAAGCCTGAGGGTTCGAAGGTTAAGCAGAGCAAGGAGAGGATCGGGTAGGAGATAATGAAAAGAGGGAAGTCATGAAATGCTTCCCAACATCTTCCACTTGACTCAACGCAGTGTTACAAAAGCCAAGGTTGCCAGCTTTGTTAAAATCGGCCGTTCAGACCCAAACCTTAGCTACTATTTTTTTTTTTTAAATTCAAACAAGAATTTTTAGGCTTTTAACATCCTAATTAAGGTTAAACCATCCCAACTTAGGTTGGAATGTTATCCAAACACACACAAAGTCTCTCCCTTTTCAAGTCTTTACTTATGCGAAACGCTAGTGGAGTCAATTCTATTAAATGATTTTTGTGCGTAATTGATTTTTTCATTCTAACAGGTTTGGACTATCTTTTTTTGATATTTTATAATGCTGCTTTTAGGTGAGTCTGTGTTTAACCATCTGTTTGTGTGCACAATTATTTCCCCAGCACAAGACATGGAAATATATTAATATTTTATAATAATTTATATCATATATATATACGTGTTTTTATTTTTAAATTTTATGATAATGTGTATATAATTTACAAATAGGCATTGTAATATCACTTAAACATCTTATAACTAAAATAATGTATTATCATATATTTTTTGGCTAATCATATTTATATATCAAAAGAAGTAACGTTCGTAATTTTATTATGTACGGCAGTTTAATTCAAAGTTCATCACTGCTTAAGCATTGATAATTTTCTGCGAGCTTTTAACCAATGCTTTTAATATTTGGAACGAATGGTTAGACTACAATCTAGATGAAAGAGTGGCTCGATTTGAGTCATTAACTCGTTATAAAAATTGGCGTCTAAAAATATCTTAAAGCATTAAATCTTACATATTGTGATATTATTGTATTGGCAACTGGAGCATATTATGGATTTGTGGCATTGTTGTATTGACAAATTGACATATGGTTTTATCTTAAAATTCCTCCCACGATGAGTAGTTTGTCTGTTTCCCGGTAATTGATGAGTAGTTTGCTTTACATTTGCATTGGTTATATTTCTTTATCTTTTTACCAAAAAAAAAAAACACAGCAAGGAAATTGATTATTAAAGAAGAAGTTATTCCTCTTATATTAAAAAAGAAAACAAGACTGGGGTTTTTCTCTTTACTCTTTCTTTTTTCATAACTAGATATGGGTTGTGTGTTAAGTATTGGTTGGGTGAGTGATGCACGTGTGTGCCCCTTCCCTAAGATGATAGGGTTAGATAAGATAATTAAAATTATTATTTTACTGTTCAAGAATAATGGAGGGGAAAAGAGGGGACGTTAAATTTTTAATTAATTCTTTTTAAAAAAAGACAAGGAAAAACAACTATATATACTTTAATTTTTTTAGTGATTCCAGTTAATTTAAACAAAAACTGAAAATATAAAATAATTTATTTTAAAATTTTATATCAGTTATGCTAAAATATATACAATATTTATTTTAGTCTATATATTAGATCTATGCAAATTAAAATTTTTAGACATGTTTTGATTGAGTTCCTTTCTTCGACACTATATAAGCAATGTGTTTTACTTTAAATTTTGTTATCTGTTATCATTACATATTAAAAATAAAAATAAAAATTTCCTTTATTTTCACATAAGTTATTTTTGAATATGCTACCCGGCCCGTATATACTAAAAATATGACCAACAATTTATTTTATTTAAATTATTTCAAAAGTAATTAAAATTTACATGAGTGGTAGTGACTCTTATTATTTAAGGAAGTCTGGAAGTGCTTGTTCACCCTTAGCTCTTAGTAAAGCGAGGAAAGTAATCTTTGCCCTTAAATTTTAGATAAGAATATGCCAAAAAAAATGATAACTTGTTACTTGTGCATATCAAAACTTAAACAACATATTTTATTTCATAATTTATTATCATATTTAATTTGTTACCGGTGTATATATAAATTATTTAAAAAATTAGAATTGATTGTTGTTAAATGTCTTGTGGTTGAGTGAAAACTCTCCAGCAAGTTTGATTTCATTTATAATCTCAAATCATTAATGCTGGTCTCTCTTAATTAAAATAAAAAATGATAACTAATTTTATAATATAATAGATAAAAAATATGTCGACATAATATTATAAAATTTAAAAATAAAAAGATAAATCTTAAACAAGTTAAATTATAAAAATATAATTTTTTTAGTACAAAAAGGCAAGCCAAACCTTGGAAAAGTACATACTTTGCTAACTGATCAGCACAAGAGACTGACCCATGACCAGTGAAGGTGATTTCAATCTCCTCTAATTGACATAGCAAATTTAAAAATATAATTTAAAATGTAACTGAGGGAGGAGGCGACAAGAAATAACAATTTGCGTGGGCCCAGTGTGCATGGGTTTAAGGTAAGGCTGTGTTGGTGTTAGTATCATTTTTTACCTTAAATTAGAAAGCATTTAATGTAAGTACTGTTGAGGAAACTGTTACTCAGCAGTAAACCAATTTGTCATTTACCATTTCGAAAGATTCTTACTTGCTTATAGTCATTTGCATCATTTTATAATTAAATTAATTTTTTTGGGACAAATTTATATTTCCTTTGCTTAAATTATAAAACATTTTTAAATAAAATTATACATATTAATAAAATGTATTAAATATACTTTATAATTATACTTTTTCAAAACATAAATACAAACTTTTAAAAATATTTTTCATTTAATACTTCATTTGTTAAAAAATATTAAGAAAAGAGAATATATGAAAATGATAATATTAAAAAAATATTATTAATAAAATTCTATTCTTGTTAAAATGTTTTATATTTGGAGATGTTGAATCTCCTTAAAAAATATATTATAATTTGGAAGTATATAATTTAACTCATTAAGAAAAAGTTCCAACAAATCAGGTGCGCCTTGGTCTCAGGCAAATGTTTCTTGTTAATCATAGTTTATTGGCAAAACAGATATGGAGATTGGTTAACTCATCAGATTCATTGGCAAGTTCTACATTCAAAAGGAAATACATTGATCTAAACTCCAGATGTGCAATCAGGCAGCCCTATAATACCTCTTAGCTTGGATTTGGAAAGGAATTCTAAGTTGTGCAAACATTATTCCTTCTAATCTGAGATGGCAAATTGGTTGAGGGAATGATATTCCTATTAACAGTCCTTTCTGGGAATTAAAACCAAGGGATTTTAATTGTACGGGTTTTCAAGAAGACTTGAGAGTCTCAGATTTTCTACAGGTTTCTTCTAATCCCTGGGCACCAATCTCTTGGAATTTGGCTAATTTAAGAGCTTACTTCCTGCATAATCTAGTATCTACGATAAGCTCTCTCAACATCTCCCAGGTTAATTATAATGATAAGCTAATTTGGATTGGACATAACTCAGGCACCTATCTAGCCAAATTCGGGTTTAGGAACCTCATGCAAGACTCTTTGATCACTCATCCCCCTTGTACGTTCCCTTGGGTAAGTATTTGGAAGCTCAAACTCCCACATTAATATTGCTTGCTGTTTTGGAAGTTTCTACACGAAGCAATTCCAATCTCTGATGTACTATTCAAGCATCATTTGTCTTCTACAAATGGATGCGCCTTTGGATGCCAGGAAGGAGAAACGATACCTCATCTTTTCTTTTCCTGCCCTGTTTCTAAAGCTATTTGGTTTGGTGGGGTCTTAACTTGAGAATAGATAGCCTCATTTCTCCTAATATTATATAATCAATTAAGTACTTTGTTAAGGATCTCATTGATCGCTCTGAGGAAGATTCGGTGGGAGACTTCATCATCGTTCTAAATCTAATCTGGGATTCAAGTAATAAAGCAGTGCATGAAGGAAGGAAACCAAAAATTGCAGTCATTATTAAAGAATTTCAACATGCAAAAATTTTTCTGGACAAAATCTGTACCTGGAATTTCCAAGATCTGGTTCCTTTCTCAGATCCGATACGTGCCAATCATCATCTGGATAATCTTGGTAATCTTCATCAGATGGAAGGCTGGATTATTTTATCTGAGAAAAAGAAAACAAGGACTTCAATTATTTTCCAGATCAAAATTTTCCTTGCCTTAGAATCTCTCATCAATCTAGAATGGAGGAAGGGGAAAAGCTGTGGCCAGACCTTCATTCATATTTGAATGCATCAGATCTGCGCTTCTCTGGATTAAAACGGTAGAATCAAATGGAATCTGTAATAGCGGGACGCTGAACACCGTGGGGAAGCTGGTGAATCACTTTGCGCTTTGCAGGGACTTGAGATGTGTTATCAAGGAAGATATTTGCAAAATCATGGGCGGTTTTAAGGAAGTCAACATGATAATAAACTCTCACCTTGAAACTGCAGATACCTACTTTGTTGGTGTCCAGCTATTAGCTCAAAAAACTTTTATTTCTTTTATTATCTTTTCTTTTACATTGCTATAATTTCCTTTCGTATTATTGACTTCTTATCAAAAAGAAGAAGAAAAAGAAATGACCAATGTGTATATATAGCAATGTGCCTCAACTTGCAATCAGGGCCATTTATATAGAGTATTCCCAACCACAACATCTCCCATTTCCATCATCATTATTAAATATTGATTCCTAACTCATGTATTTATAGTTAAACATTTTTATATATTATTTTGGTCTTATTTATAAATCATTCCTAACATATTTCACCACAATTAAAAAAATATTAAAACACATTAATTCTGTCTAAAATTTTAATAATTTTAATAATTTTATATCTATTAAATAGATATATATATATATATATATATAAACACACACACACATTTTAATAACATATCTCTTCTCTCATCAGGAACCATAAGCTAAGTTTATGGATAATGAAACGGTATCGTATCAAACATTTCAATTCACTGCCGTTGTACTTCAACCTTTCTCCAATATAATTCTCCTTCTACTCTCTTTCGAAACTGCCCCTTTTATATGAATAAAAAATCTTCTAGGTATTGTAATGTACTTAATTTGGGTGTCCTGTCCTGTAGCCTTGTGCCAGGTAGTTGATTCATATTACATTCACTCAATTTAATGAATGAACGAAAGAATATTTTAACTTGAAATAACTCTAATTAAATATGTCCACATGTAAATTTGAGGATGCGATAAGGTTACTATTTACTAATGGGGATCAAGCATCGTTAAGTTTAATTCTTAAGATATTTATCGTGCGTTAATAAATATCCACTACTTAAATGTATTTTTAAGAAAAGGAATTTATTCATTTTTCAGGATTTTGAAGGGGCGTGAAAACATATAAGAACTCTTAAATTAAAATAGAAATAGATATAATTCCAATTACTTCAAAAATGGTGAGATCTTTGGCACAAATAGAGGGGTTGATCTGTATCATCTTGACTTCATTCTAATTCCTCTATTTTTTTAAGAATACTGAATCCGGTTCTTCTCCAAGCTACCCTTGTTGAATGAGGCATAATGAAGTTTAAATGCAATGTAATTGCAGAATCATGTACACATGTAAACAATATATGCTTGTGATTATTGATATCATCATGTCTCAGTCAATAGGATATCAATAGAAAAAGTGATGAACGCGTCTACCATGTTTTGTTCACCTATATTTATAATACAACCAAATTTTTCAAAGTTTATTCGATGTCCTTTTACGGAGATGATTTTTCTGACCACATTGTAATGAAGATGCTGATTTATTCTTTTGGTTTTGGGAAAATTACTCCTAATTAAGTTTCAAAATTCATCATTATTCTATGTCCTTTTGATTTAGAATATATGCATATTTTTTTATTATAAACAATTTAAGTATGTTAATATACATTTTAGAATAACATTTACGAAAATTTCAATAAGTGAAAAAGTTTATCCTCTATTTAACAACTTTTACGAGACTTATGTAAAAGAAAACAGAGAATGGCACCTAAGTCCCTCATATAAGAAAAATTAGCACCTAAGGCCTAATACATTTTGAATCTATTTTGTAGGCCCAAAGGCCTTACATGCAAATATATAAAGATTCATTCTCATCTGGTTTGAAAAAATAACATCGTGCGTAGAACATTATGTTGTTAATGCATGAATCATGTTATATATGGACATTCTGTTAGTCATACACCTAGAAAATTTAAAAATTACTATTTAACTAAACCACGCATGCTATGTATATGAACAGATATTGTGTTATTAATGTATAGATCTTGTCAGGATATATACGAACATTCTATTGTTCATACACCTAAAAAACTTAGACATTATTGTTCAACTAAATCACATGGACTATATATAATGAATGGATATTGTGTTGTTGATGTATGAATCTTTTCATGTTATATACGAACATTCTATTGTCCATACACATGAGGAAATTTTCATTATTGTTAAACTAAATTGCATGGACTATATAGTGATCAATAGACATTGTGTTTTAAATGTATGGACCTTTTCACATTACATACGAACATTTTATTATACATATACCTAAAAAACTTGTACATTTCAAACAAGAAGCAAATGAGTCTTTTTACTAGCAAACATATGTACATATTTAAGCTTACAAAATCAATTCAGAATGTATTGGGTATTAGGTGCAAATTTCTTTGATTTGGAGGCATTAGGTTCCATTTTCCAAAAGAAAATTGCGTCTGTCACACTCCCACTTTCACATGTAAACATTGACTTCCAACTCCCAAGTCATCTTTGAATCCGCAGAGCGCTCAAAACGGTGTCGTAAATATTAAGATATGACCCACGTTCATAGTAATCAGGTTTTAATGGCGCCCCTATGCGAGAATTCAAAGCCACATCGTGACGGTATACTATTTTTATATAGACATGCAACTGCTTATCATTTAAGGTCATTTTTACTATTTTTGGTCCTGTTTTCTCTCTGCCAGTAAAGTGTCAAGAGTTAATCAATTAATATTTTGGAAATATTTTTTATTAAGTTCATGGATCAAATTCAAGTTTTTGCACCCTTCTATGTGGCACTCGTTCCAACACACACCGAGAAAAAAGGACGAAATTCATTAAAGAGAGGTACTTTAAAAGTCACATGCGAACTTCAGAATCTCATTGATTTCCTATGATCAGTCCCTACAAAATACCAAAAGTAGAAAGATGAAAACCTAATCATTTTAAAGTTTCAAGAGGAATATTTGTCAAAAAATGGAAAGGTTTGGGCAAGAAAAGCTGTGGGGCCAAGAAAAAAGTATTTAAAAGAAGAGAGCGCAGAATTTGACTTGATTTGATTTGACTTTGTCTGAAAACTTTTAACCAATTTTTTTAAATATTCAGACCAGCCCAAATGATTAGACTACAATCTATATGCAAAAGTTTCTCGATTTGAGTCTTAACTTATGCATATTGGCTTATTACGAATCGGACGGGTTTGACAACTGGCTTGGTTGAATTAGCCATTAGGCAGGTCTTGAGCGGGGGAAAAATTCGCGCCTTATAATATCCTAAACCATTCAATCTTAATTATTGTGATGTAATGGAACATAATATGGATTTGTGGTATTGTTGTATTAGTAACTTGACATATGGTTTTATCTTAAAGTTCCTCCCACGATGAGTAGTTAGCTTTTTTTTTTTTTGGTAATCGATTAGTAGTCTGCTTTTCATTTGCATTTGTTATACTTCTTTTATCTTTTTCGGGAAAAAAGAGAGAAAAGAATTGATTCCAATTAAAAAAAAAGTTGTTCCTGTTATATTAAAAAAGAAAACAAGATTGGGCCTTTTCTCGGTTTTTCCCATAATTCTTGCTTGATTCCAATTAAGATATGACCCACATTCACAGTAATTAGGTTTTAATGGTCCCTTTGCGAGAATTCAAAGCCCTATCAGCCATCGTGAAGGTGTACCATTTTTATGTAGACATGCAATTGCTTTTCATTTAATTCATGTGGTCACTTTTACTATTTTTGGTCATGTTTTTGCTTTCTCTCTGTCAGTATAGTGTCATAAGCTAATCAATTAATATTTTAGGCTGCGTTCACGGACCATTAGAATGATTCAAGTTTTTGAACCCTGTTATGTGGATACTCGCTCCAACACACCAATCAAAAATAGGAAGACATTCATCAAAGTTTTGAACTTTTTCTGGCCATTCTTGCCTGGACCAGGGCCTCTCCACTTCTTTTTCTCATTTTCCCTCCACTTTCCCAATCTTCACTATCCATATCATTTTATTAAATAATTTTTTAATTATAGAATTAATTAAAGGTGAGGATTGGGGAAATGGAAAGGAAAGGAGAGAGAAATGGAGAGGCCCCTAATCCATTCTTTCCCATACTAATAATTAACCAAACCAGGCCCACCAAGTGGTACTCTAGAAGTCATCACATGCAAACTTGAGAACCTCACTAATTTCCTACGATCAGTCCCTGCAAAATTCCAAAAGTAGGGAAAAAAGGAAGGGGTTGGCAAGAAGAGTTCTGGAACCAGGAGAAAAGAGCATCTAATGAAAGATATCACATGGATGAATTTGATTTGATTTTGCACTGACAGGAAGATTTCTAATCTGGACACCTGCCTCCTGGCCGAGCATGAGTAAAGGAAATAATTAAAAGAAGCAAATAATGAATGCTCTTACAGTTCTTAATTATCTGTTGACCAACACAAACATGCCTTCTCTTTCACTCCCAACTTTAATAACTCTGGAGCCCATCATCCACACTTCCAGTGTTGTTTGTAAATTTTTGTTGTTTATTTAGGAATCTGACCCTGCTTTCTAAATTTTTTTAAAAAATAAATTGCATGAGATAATAGTTTAGTTTTGTATAACTATTACACGGTGAATAACCTGGGAAATAATAAGAGTCAAGGTAAAGCCTAAATTTCGTGATCAATGAAAATTAAACATACCATAATTAATCACATGATAAAGGACTTGGTCGTGATTATAATAAACAATGCTTCTCCAATTTCTGCCCTTATTTTTGCTTCTCTTTCTGGGAAGTGGTACCATCAAAGAGAAGCAATAATGAATGCTTATTTACGATTAGAAACAAATATAGACCCCACCTGCTTCTAGTTGTTCAAGTGAAAAATAAAATGAAATGAATCTTGTCGCTGAGGAGAAAGAACACTGACGTAATTGAAAATACAGCAGAGCCGTGCATGTTGCTTGTTCTGTGTTCACACCCAAAAATGGAAACCAAGTGAATAAATGTGCCCTCAAAATTCAAAATGTCCATTAAAGATTATATCCCGAAACAGAAAGCCCCTCACCACTGCAACAAAGATACACAGACTTGAATATAATTATTAATCTTGAGTTATTGCGGGCGAGGTCATATAGGCAACTATACTGTATGTAATCTTACTCTAGGTTTTTTTTTTCCTTAATTTCTAATACAACTT